AACTCGATCTGTCTTTTTATGATACAAAACGACCCTGAAATTCCCAGATTGATATCTCAATTCTTTCTCGAGTTATCGTGCGTACAGACGGACAAACAAACAAACAAACAGACAAACAGAATGAAACTTTTCCGGTCAGTGGAGTAATGGGCTTCGCTAATCGCTCAGCCAACTAAAAAGCACGCAGCTCATCCGCGCTCCGCGCGTTTCGAAAGACACGCAGTTCAGCCGCGCGTTTCGAAAGACACGCAGTTCCTATCTCTATAGCGGTAAACTGCGTGTCTTTCGAAATGCGTGTCTTTCGAAACGGGCGGCTGAACTGCGTGCCCTTCGAAACGCGCGGATGAGCTGCGTGCCTTTTAGTCTAAGGTATCGACTTTATCCTGGCATCTTGAAAACGACTTGAGCTACGCTAAAATGGACTGCAGATTTGGCTTTGCCTCGATTCTGACACCAAGTCTAAATGCTCCATACAGCTCCCGTACCTTGTAAATGAGACATGATCTTGGTCTCTGATAGGCCAGTCGGGCCGACAACTTGGTTAAAATTTCCCTCGTACATAATACACCATGGTGAATATTTTTCAAAATTATGATGGGCAAAAAATCAGAGATGTATTTACACACCATGTGACCACATCACCAAGTAATAACATTTGGTATAGGGCCAGTCATGGCTTTTTGGGACTGGGCGTAGGACCCTTTGGATTTTTCACTGCGCATATTGATACGCTGCCTTACTAATTTATCACCCCGTCGAATCGGCATTTTCCAGAAAGTATCGTAGTGCCTTGGCCCTATTTAATCTTTTGTATAAAGAGGAGCTCGAAACAGAGCCGTCAGTTATTTGTGATACTAAAAAGCTGTAGAGACACGCCATCAGGTGGACAAATCTAATCAGGGACAATGGGGTTATATCAAAATGGGTGTGTTTATAATTTTTTTGCTTCCGTTTATGGTAGCCGTGCTCCTGCTCCTGCTTACGCATTGGACAATTGAATCTTTAACTGTTGAATTAAGCCTACTTGTGTCTTTATTGATGGCAGGGTCAAGGTTGTCTTCGGCCTTTTTGAAATAGGGCAACACGCCCTGGTAGCTCCACTGCTGGTCGCCGGTAAGCTTGGCCCACTCGTCGAAGTCCACGTCGCTGCCCCGCACGTACACCATGCCATTGAGAACGCTGCCGCCGCCCAGGACGTTGGGCACATTGAGCAGACACCCCGTGCCGTTGCAGCTTTGAGGTTCAGGAACCGACTGAAAAGGATAAACCAGGCTCGTGAACCCGCGAAATGGAATCAAATTCACGTTTATGTACCATGTACCACACATACGACATGTATAATTAGTGATGTAATGAAACCCTTAAAGATCTGAATTGAAAGTAGAAAGAGTTGTTGTTTAAAGTGATTTCGCGGGAATTCCGTATTAGGATAACACAGCGCGTAGCTGATGGTCGGCCGATTTGGACTTACCTAGGTTCATTGTGTTTAACTTACAAGGGGACTTAGGCAATTGTAAATTCCCGATCGTGCCCAAACTCGGTATATTTGCTGCTTATCTATGTAGGTGATG